TCGATATCATAATGCATTTTTTATATGACTCGTTTATTACATATTTCGAAAATGTCAAGAGGCTATACCTTTTTTTTTGACATATTAAAAAATTATTATTCTAATTTATACAAACAGATCAAACATTTGTTTAAATGAAAATTTAATATAAACTTATTTTAATATCATAATAGTAGATTTCTTTAGAATTATAGAAAAATTGTTCACAAACGTTTAAAGATATGATAATTACCAACTTGTTCTCCCTTTTTCTCTTCTTTATTTCTTTTGCGATATGGAAAAGCTTGAAATTTTTGTTCTCAATGATACAGTGCAGATATGACGTTAACGTTACAGAGGGAGACAAAGATAAGGTTTGCGACGTTGTTGAAGGACGGAAAAAGGAAGGAGAAGTGGAATCGAGGCGACAATGTTTCTTTTGTAATTCCCCCCCTTCTATACGTGCGTGCACGTGTTCGGGCGTGACGAGAACGATCAATCGATCGATAGATCGAGCAATCGATCCGAACATAGAATCAACAATTCCCGAATGATCGTCGTTCGATCATTTGTTCGAGACGACGACGACGACGAGGAAGAGCTGTTATACGACGTTGTTTCCTTTTTTGTCTTTCCGAACACGATCGTGAACGTAGATGTGCAATCTCGCGTATGTATGTATATATATATATATATACATATATATACATATATATACATATCATATACATATACATATACATATTCTTTCGATACAAAAATAAAATTCAAAATGCGTCAACGCAATCGCCTTCATATATAGCATGTCTCTTCGATAGAGGAGAAGAGGACACGCTCCTGAATTGCGATTATGTTTCTCGACTTTTGGTTTATTTCTCATTGATAACCAGTTTTTATAGGATAATTTATGTACCCACTTACTAGTAAAATTTATTAGGAAACATAAAAAAAATTCTTTATCGAAAGAATGTGAGAGAGAAATTTTATTTTATATTTATAGTAATAAAAAGCTCGGTCGGGGGACCAATCTTGAAGATGAAAATCTCATATTTTGCATACATTCAAAGGTCGCGCAGGGTTATATAGTAATATTGATTGAGTATAAGATAGAAACGGTGCTTTAAAATAATATATGTAAATGTGCAAATGAAAAACTTGGAAATGGAAATGGAAGGGTTATCCTACCATTTGGTATTATTGCTTTTCACCGTACGAAAAGTATCTACTCTCTTGGTGTAAAGAGAGGGAGAGAAGCAATAGACGAAAGTATCGGGTGGAGAAAGATACGAGCCTTTAAACCGCTTCTCGCTAACCGCTTTCTCTGTCTTTTCGTGGATCTATAAAAGTAGCAGCTTCTCGTTGCTATACTTTCTGCATGTGAAGAGTATTCTTTATATACCAGATCGTACCGTTCAAGTAGCGGAGAAAAGCTATTACGACATAATATACCTTCATTCCTACACGTGCCGAAGAATACGGCCAATTTTCTATAACCACACGCGCCGAATTTATGTATCTATGTTTTTACTTTGTTAACATTCTGACGACAAGCTTATAAACGAGCAGCCGTTTTCTTAGAAGATTAACAATATGATACAATACTGTGTATATCTCTGCAATCGAAATTCTCTGTTTTATTTCACCTATAAATAAATAAATATAGTAGAATTTATTTTGAAAATCCTACCAGACGATCGAATGTTTCTTTTAATTAAAAATCAATCATACTTCTTTTTTTTCTTAAAAATCGTTTAATTTTTAAATTATTCAATTTTACAAATTTTATTATATTAAGATGGAAGATTATTAAGGAACATTTATAGAATATATTTATTCATAAAAAATTACAATACCATATAATTCGAGAACGTTTTTTTCTTAGAGTTCCGATGGTAATGAAGAAAAAAAAGACGAAAAAGAAAGAAAAAAAGAAAGTTAAACAATGGCGATAGCGCAGGGCGACGCGTATGCGTACTAGCGGGATTGTGACCTTGAACAGGAAGCTCTCCCGGTAGTACGCATGCGTGCGACTAGATTCGATCATCCCACGTTCGCGGACCCTTTCTACGATCTCCCAACCCCGTTGCCGAGCAAACACGCTATACGTTGGAAAGTCGCTTTTCACTTTCACATCCCTTCCTTTAAGCCGACCCTTAAACGATCCACACGCCATTGAATTTCGTGGGTTAGAGAACTTCTTCCTCGACGATTTTGGCGTCCTCGTTGTTGACGTCATTGACGACTACGGTGATTACAAGGATAATAACTATGATAATGATGATAGTTATGATGATGATGACGACGGTGATGATGATGATGATAATGATGATAGTTATGATGATGATGGAGATGATGAGGATGATGAGGATGATGATGATGATGATGATGATGATGATGATGATAATGATAATGATGGTGATGATGATGATGACGTTGTGTGCGACGAGATACTAGACGGAAAGGGTGAAAAAGCAAGTTCTTCTGGAAGAGAGCACTTTACGATAAGAGTGAGAAGAGTAAAAAGCTCGATCGTAAAAGAGAGCTCACACCTGTGCTACTGCCGGTATATTAACGACTACCGTAGTATGGTATAATGCGTAGGAAAAGGACGGGAAGGAGGAAGACCGTGGTTGCGATTTTTCGCGTAGAAAATACTTCTTGAGACACACCGTTGGATGTCTCGTCTTTTTCATCATCATCATCATCTTYTTCTTCTTCTGCTTCTATTTTTTCTTCTCATCGTCCCTAAACGGTGCATTTAAAATCGGCCACTTAGCGTAAACGGCGATTGTGCATATTATATATAGTAATAGTACATCATATATAGGTACTTTTTCAAGTAAGAAGAGAGTACTTTTAGTCCATAAAATCGTCTTCCTTAAAGCTTCTTCTTCTCTTTCTCTTTGTTCGAACGCTCTCTTGGTTAGTAGTAGACGTCGACGAAAGATTAGTTTCCGATATTGCTTTCCTGACACACGTTGTTGACCAATCAAGGAGATATTTAGATTTTTGGTATGCTGTTTGAAATTTAATCTGTTGAATTTTCTTTTTTTTTATATGTATATATATAAATTTTGTAAATTTACTGCGGCGAGATCCATTGATATATCGATGGATCTTTTATCTATGGACCTTTGACACGAACGAAATCATTTTGAAGATTGAACTAATAATAAGTGATTAAATTTATCAGTATAATTAAAGTATTATACGGCAGACGTTTTAAGCTGTCTTCTCATTTACGTTCAAGTTTTTTATTACATATGTGCTCATACCAACGATCTCTCACGATTATTCGATAAATTTTTATGAAACAATTTTAATCTCGTTAAAATACTATATAATTTTGGTGATTATAATTTAATCACCAATTAATTAATAATACGCGCATATAACTCTATTATATATTACTATTTTTCGGCTGTTTTTACTCGAAGTTTCGATCTTCTCCTAGTGAAGAGATAGATAGTTCGGAGTTATATAAAGAAGATGAAAGAAAGAAAAAAAGAAGAAAAAAAAGGAATAGGGTGAAGAGATAGGGTAGAAAAAGAAAGGTGGGGCACCGAGCCGAGACAAGACGGCCCTGAGGTTCGTAGCGTTAAAGGCTACGAAAAGGGCCGAGCATGAACGAAAAGGGGCGAAGCCGAGCGCCGACAATCGAGCAGGAGGTTCGGCTCGTCGGCGAGAGAGCCGTCACGACTGCCTCTGGCTCCGGTTATGGCTATTGACCGAACTTGACAGACCGGCCGGTCAGCTGTGCACTGTGCCGCTGTCGTTGTCGTCGTTGTCGTTGTCGTCGTTTTCGTTGTCGTTGTCGGCGTTGTTAACGTGAAAAACTGAGCTGGAAATATTCTATTGCATTAGAAGAAATTCACCTTCATCGGCATAATTTTCATTTTCCTACGAGGTGGGCCATCGCCACCACCACTATCTCGTTATAGCTTTTGTACAATTAAAACAACTGACCAGAAGTAGAAGAAAAAGTCGTATCAAGAGGAAGCTTTTAGGAAGAAGAGGATGTATGTAACTGTCAAACGAGAGGAGACTTCTGATCTAACTCGTACGATTGAACAAAAAAAAAACGATACGAGGAAGTAAAAGGATTCGAATGGGAGATAATTTTTCCCTGATCTTTTTAGCTTTTTTCTATTAAACAAAAAAAAAAAAAATAAAAAATAAAAAAAGAGAGAAAAAAAGAGAAACAGAGAGAGAAAGAAATAAAGGAAAAAAGACATTCGTACCGTTGCTACGAGAATAGCTACAAAGCTTCATCGAAAGAGGTTTATAAAGACGACAAGAACGACGACTTCGAAGCGGCAGAGAAAAAGAGATCGAGCGCAAGTATAGTAGAAAAAGAAAGAGGAAGAGAAAGAGAAAGAGAGAGAGAGAGAAAAGGAGAGATAGGCGATCGTCCGCGTCGCTGTTGCACATATGAGCAAGTAATAAAGTGTGTACAGAGCTCGCGCATGCAGGTGTGCGGTACAAAAAGTGCATTGCCCAGTGGACTTTTCCATCCGGTGGCTCACGAACTGTACGTTATTTCGCGCTTGAGTTTCGTCCACGAGACGAAAGAGAGAACACGACGAGGACGGTGACGAGGATAGTGACGAGGAGAGTTAGAGGGAGAGGAGGTGTGAGGAGGAGGTGTGAGGAGGAGGAGGAGGTGGAGAAGAAGGCGGAGGAGGAAGGAGAAAAGTAGGGAGATACTCGTTCGGTAACTATACTCCTCTCGCGCCGGAAGAAGAATCGTAGAGGTTCCGTGGGAAGAGGAGGAAGAAAGAAGAAAGAAGAGTAGTAGTAGTAATAGTAGTAATAGTAGTATTAGTCTAGTACTAGTAGGGATATGTCGTATTTCTCGTGTGGCCTCGTCGAAAATCGAAGAACCATGACGATACGATAGAATTGATGTGGATAGTCTCGATTTCGGCGGAATATTTTACGAAAAGACTAAGAAAAAAAAATTCAAAACTAGACTGTAATAAACATTTTTGTACGATTTATTATTTATTCTTACGCGTGGATTTTTTAAATACGTACGTAAAGGGAAGTAAGAAAAATAAAAAAAAAAGAATAAAAAAAAAACAGGAAAAAGTGAATGAGGTCGACAAAATTCTCATCTGGTGTGTGAATTCTACATTACCGACGTAGTATTTTAAATACGAGGGGTGAAGGAGGAGGTAATACGTCGGTCGGTAAAACAGTGTCACGTGCGGTGCCACGCAGTGGAGGAAGGATGGAAGACGGACAGAGGCTATTGAGGGAGCCGGTTGCAACCAACCAGTCGCGAATTCGCGCTTAACGTGATAACAGTTAGAGAGACTGTTTTCTTGCGCGTGATACTCTTAAAATTTTACACTGATTTTTAATTCTATAAAAACTCACGTAAGAAGGAACAGTTTAATCGTTTTTAACTTAATCACGCAAAAAATAGAACTGAAAGAAATAGAAAGTAAAAAAAAAAAGAACAAGTAGTAACGGAATAAGAATAAGAAGTTAAAAGAAGCTAAAAGAAGAGTGGATCGAAGGTCGTGTGCTACCAAGTCTCAAGTCGACGGAAGCGATTTATTCTCTCGTTGGCGACACGGAAGCACGTTTCATTTAAGGAATTCGTCCGCTAGTTCAACGTTAGCACGAAAAAGTTATATCTATCATTTGGAATACAAGAATACACGGAGTAACAGTGTACCTAGGTAAGAAAGAAAGCAAGAAAGAAAGAAAGAAAGAAAGAAAGAAAAATAGAAAAAAAGATAGAATCGTTGAAACTCTTTGGTTTTTGAAATAGAGTTCTGATTGATGATAGATCGATTTAGCGGTGGGGCGATCGTTCGTGTAGAGTAGCAGCGTATGAGATCGAGAGGAAGAGGAGAAGAAGCGCCCTCGTCTCGTAGAGAAGATTCGTGCTTATCGAAGAAGAGAAGAGAGCGGGGCAAGAGAGAGAGAGAGAGAGAGAAAGAGAAAAAAAAGAGAAATAGGAAATACGATAAGTGAGAGAGAAGAAAGAGAGTCCTTCGACGATTTTGAATCGCGTTCGATAAGCCAACCACGAGGATCACTCTTTCTCTCTCTCTTTCTCTGTCTCTCTCTGTCTCTCTATCTCTCTTTTTCTTTCTCGACCTACCTCTCTCCCACCCCATCTCGCTGTCTCTTTCCTCTCTTTCTTGGCACTACGAGTGTGGTGTACTCGTGGGACTACGTTGAAAATCGCTCGGTGTCGTTGCTTGACAGAACCGGTTTTGTTCGGCTCGGCAAATCTCGGCGTTTATACAAAGGTCGTGTGTGCTCACTCGTGAGAGAGCGGTAGGAGTGAGATTTATGGAAAACGAATTTACACGAGGTCACACCCACGGGAGCGGCTCTCTTTCGCTCGCTCTCTCTTCCTTCCTTCCTCCCTCTCTCTCTCTCTCTCTCTCCCTCCCTCCTTTTTTCTCTCTATCCATTTTATACATTGGCACGTCTATTTCCACTTCTCTTTATTAATAATAACAACGGCGCTAACGCAACGATCATGTTAAAAAGGCGCCACGCGTTCCCGAGTACGCGCCTTGCTAAGAGAATCGGTTGAGTCTGAACAACCGAAAGATAAAAGTAAAAGAAAGAAAGATAACGAGGACCCAGGTGTCCTTCGGAGCACGGAAGAGAAGGAGAGAGACAGAGAGAAAGAGAGCGAGAGAGAAAGAGAGAGAGAGAGAGAGAGAGAGAGAGAGAGAATTAAAGAAAGAGAAAGAGATAATAAACTTTGAGAAAGGATCGACGAACTCTTTCTTCTTGCTTCAGCAGTGATACCTGGTTGGACGAATCCAAAGAAGGTTCATCTTAAATCGTTATGAGGCTGATGTGTTCCACGTTAAAACCGAAAAGATACGATTTTATTCTGCGAGAACGTTCAAGAGGAACTGGTGAAGTTAGCATCGATGGAAACGTCATATTCTCCAATGGACTCTTATACTTTCAGGGAGAAAATCAACGAAGATTGAGGAGCGAGAAAAGCAAAATGGTCGAATTCGAAGAAAGTGAAGCTGTCCTCTTGGAGTGGAAAGAACGGAGGGATTGCTCGTTGCTGCTTGCGATAGTGCTTTACGAAACCTAGTCCTTGCTACATTTTTCCATAGAGAGAAAGAGAGAAAGAGAGAAAGAGAGAGAGAGAGAGAGAGAGAGAGAGAGAGAGAGAGAGAAAGAGAGAGGAAGAGAGAAACAAGGAACTAAAAAAAAATCAAAGAAAATCAAACAAAAGGATAGTGGAAGAGAGTGTGTAAAAATATAGGAAAGTCTTGATGGTTTCGAGTGATTTTGGCGATGAAGCGAGCGACGAGCGCTACCGCGGCCTGCGCGTCGCAGGTACAACAACCGGTAGTCGCGCTTCAGGGGAAGATACACGATCTTCTCCTTAATCCATTGAATGCTCGTACGGAAGAAGAAGTTACGATATTGAAGGGTATTGGAGGTGTTAAATCGTTAGTTACAGCGTCATCGTCATCCATTACGGTGACGTCGAAGGATGAAGCGAAAGCTAAGTCGTCTGCCATGCCACGGCTGTTGGCTGTTGATTCGGACAATTATATGCTTAGGAAAGGTGCGGGGAGTACTAACGGAGTCTCCTCGTCTAACCCAACTACGATGACAGCTCCCACGACGACGACATCGACAACGTCATCGTCCATAGAAACCGTCGGTTGTTCTCGAGTAACGCGAGCTTTTCTAACGAACGCTCCTACAAGTGGCACCTATACCGATTTGCAAATGCACTCAATTCTTGGTTATAATAACAACGAGACGAGACAACAACAACAACAACAACAACAACAACAACAACAACAACAACAACAGCAGCAACAACAACAACAATCATTTGACTCAAGACTTAAAACAACAGGGGTGACTTGTGCTAACACAAATCAATTCACCCCGCAGAAGTGGTTCGCGAATCATTTACAAGCACAACAATCTCGTTGCTTGTTGAATAGTTCCAATAACGGCAACAACAAATTGGATTGTCAGCAACAGCAACAATTTTTGCGTGCATGTAACGACGATAAACGCGAGAACGATATTGAAGTTGATAACAAATCGAGTTTCCCGTGTTGTGCCCGAGTGTTTTCCTTTCATCGATATGTATGTAGGTGCATCGATGCTGGTGCTGTTAACTCGCGGCAACAACAGCAATTTCTTCAATCGAATAAAGAATCGTGGGAGATCGAGAGCACTGTTAACGTAGATTCGAATCGACTCGTGAACGATGCGATTGTTGGATCTAACTTGTCCACCGATAAAACTGCTCGCTTGTCAAAGGGCAAAAATGCGTGTAGTATCCTCGAGGCGCGGACATTCGCTGCCTCGAGGGTGCCACTTGGAAGATTGTCCGCATGTTGCTGCATGTGTGCTTCGCTCTGTCCTGTAGACTGCCGCGCGTGCTTCCACATCGTCTGTTCGGTCTACAGCGGACAGCACCTGTGCCAATGGAGTAACAAGGGTCACGCGCTACCCGGTCAAATTTTTTATGAGGACAAGGTCAGTATATCCTATTTTACCTAATATACTTTAATCCTTTTTAATCCTTATAGTGTCAGCGAGCAATATATAACTTTATCCTTTATAGGTTGGTACATTTAAATCCTATCACTTTAAATCTGACTTTTTATTATTGGTTTTTATTTTTTCATTCATGAATGTATCATAGAAAAATTATAATTTTTCAGTAAAATAATTTTAATACCAGAGAACAAATTTTTTTTGGTGATGGGCAAATTAACTTTCGTATTTATAAATTTTTGTTGGAAAAATAATTGTATTGTTTTGCTGATACTCAAAGGGTTAAAAATCTTATCGACCAATGCCTCTCAAACTCAATGCTCAAGAAAGCGTAATAATTCGAGCGCCTTACTGTTTTCGCAACAATTCGATTCGCACCATGGATAAAAATAAGAACTTCAAATTCATCTCTTTTCTATAGCATCTTTCTCTATCATTCTTATCAGCTGCCCATTGTTTCATGTTTTTTATTAGACATAACTGCGGATCGAAGGAAACGGTGTAATGTCTTACTTAAATTGTTCAGAGTCTAATAACTCTTGACAGCACTCTCACAAATGTAAGTCGATCGATCGTTCCTCGTTTGTGAACTTTTTGAAATTATTATTTTTTCAATTGTTTTCACCTATTACATTCGAAGATTAATTCAAGATTAATTCGTTAGATAGTTGATCAAATTTTTAGCAGAAATATCACGCGATAGATAATATAAATATTACAAGTAAATAAACTGTTAACTATTATAATGAATATTAGTTTTTTTTTCTTTTTTTTTCTTAATGAAAACAAATTCTTTCATCATATAGTATTAATTATATAGAATAATAAGGTGAATAAGTAGCACATATGTTCATATAGAAATTAAATGAATCTACAGACATAATAATGGATTGTTAACCCTTTGCACTCGAGACCGTTTCACAGCATTTTTGGTGAATTTCTCACCACCAACTTAAAATCATTTCACACAAAAATGAAAGGATAAAATTTGTATATTTTAATATTTAATGTATCTTTACATCTTTACGAAGATAATTTCTTAAACATTAGCTTTGTAATTTTGCTTTGTATGATATTTCATGTAATAACAATTGTCGGGCTTTTCGGGACAAGTATCACAATAGTATGTTGTTTAAAATCTTTTGCTGGGGTTATTTCTTTGAGAATAGACTTTGCAATTCTTCCTAACTCCTGTTAGAATGTTATGCAGCTTTCCATTTAGGCAGATGTTTTCGAAATTGGAGGTTGAAGTCGAAGCTCGAACACGTGTCTGATGAAAATCTCTAGTCAATTGGCGAAATAAAGATTTTCACATACCGCACGTGATTAAACGGCTGTTCTCTCTGTTGTTTAGTGATTTTATAAATTTCTCCGTGGTAAGACTTCCATAATAAGCAAAAGTATTACAGATATATCCATATTTGAATCTACCATTGTGTAAACTCTAATACCTCATTTAGTTGGTTTTTTTTTGGGTTTTAAGTAATAAAGGAAATTCGACCTTTGAATTTGACAGTGGACTCATCCACACAAATTACTTCTCCCAGTGTAAAATACTTCAAAAGTTTAGAATTTATATAGTCAAGAAAGCAGCTTACTATCTGTAAACGTGTTCTTGGACCTGCATCTTTTGTTTGGATTGTTTTTAGATGATGCATCCAAAAAATTTGGCTAAATCTGTCTCTGGTAAATTTGTTTGAATAAAAAGGAATGTAACTGATATCATTCCGTGACCAGTACTCTTGTAAATCGCATCGAATTTCCGCACCAAACAAAGTGGTGAACGAGAGTCACCTCTAGAGTTGTAGCGTTGAATGGTTTGGTGAACGAGACTCACTTCTCGAGTGCAAAGGGTTAAAATTGAAGCTGTGAAGAGAATGAGAGACAGAAAAAGGATAAAAGAATAACACGGAGAAAGAGAGAAAAATACAAAAAGGGAGAGAGAAAAAGGGATAGAAATTATCAGTGACAAGTGAATCGAGCGATTTACATTATTATGGGTCTATTTTAGTTAGTGACGAAAACCCATCTCAACGTTAGGCCCCCCTTGATTTCTAAGTCGACTTTAATACGCTCTCAGACACACAAGCGACATTTTGTTATTAGAGCGAAACCTGCTTGAGCCCGATGGCGTAACGACCTAAATCTATCTGGGTAAAAGCGAAGTGCCGAGGAAATAACGCCGACGCCTTTTTAATCGACTGTGATCACGAGTTTTGCGATATACAGGCTGTTGTATGTATTTATGTAAAATCAATTTCAAAGGATTAAATACTGATACAAATACAATGAAAGTCCTTAATACAAGATAGGATTATTATATCACTGTTTGAGGCATTCGAGCTTTGACAGATATGTGAAACGTCTTATAATATTTTTTCAAAGGAGATGCAATTTTATTTGACAAAATAATACGATTACAATTGAAAAATAAAATTTAGTATCATTTATTTATCATTTTTTTTTTTTATAGTTAAGCCTTGAAATTGACTCTAAATGTTGAATGATATCCTATTTAAAATTATAATTAAATATGTAGGTGTACGTATTAATGTAAAATCGCACGAAGCGAATGAATTGGAAATACATTTGTAATAAACTTCGACGTAGAAGGTAAAAAAAGACGTTTTTGATGGTATCGAGTAATAAAATTTTATTTTGAGATAAATATTCTTTTCGTCTATATGTAAAAAAGAAACAAAAAATTAATAGATGTCGAAGAAACTTATGAAACGTTTCGATAAGAATCATGTTTAGTTTTGCAAATGAGAGAAAACAAAAAACGAACAGATTTTTTTTTTTTGGTCCAAATTTTGGTCTATGAATATATATATATATATATAGAGAACATTTCTTAATAATTATAATCGGTTTCTTTCTCCTTACGGAAACATGTAATAAAGTAAAGAATAATAAAGAGATGTACAAGTGATAGAAAAAGAAAAAGAAGAAGAAAAGAAGAAGAAGACGTTGAATGTGTTATCTCGTTGGTGTCGTCACGATTATACACTTAAGGTTATAAGTAAGAGAAGGTTGCGTTCTTTCTCTTTGTCTCTCTCTCTCTCTCTCTCTCTCTTCATTTCTTTTTTCTTTCTTTCTTTCTTTCAAGCGCTCATTTTTTAAGCATTCGATTAGTCGGTTTTTTTCAATATTTCGCTCGCACCATTGTGCACATACATTTATACAATATACATTATACACACACACATTAATAGAGTACAAGGCACGCACCCAGGTATATGAATATATGCACATATATGCTACTTATGTATATACGATGTCTTTCACGCCAAAGCTGCCACGGCAGCCTATACTTATCTAATCTGTCTTCGGTCGTGTGGTTAAAGTTACGAGCATGTTCTTCGTTCCGGTGCGGATGTGGTATACTCATCGCATTATCTTCGGAATCGAGGAATAAGTTCGCGAGCTTAAATGTCCATATTCAAAGTTTTGTGTAATTATGAATATGGAGGAGGAGGAGGAGGGGGAGTCGAATAACACGATTGAATTGACATCCGCGATACGATAACCTCCAGAATTTTCGCTTACATTATTTTACATACGTTTTACGTTGTATTCCTTACGTAGTTTATTTCGATATGGTTGGTGTGTGTCGCGATAGATTTTTATCATTATCGTTTTTTTTTTTAATTTTCATTTTTCAATTCAAAGCGTCTTTACGAATAGTGTTTGTTATATCATTTTTGTTTCTTCTCTTTCTCTCTCTTTCTCTCTTTCTCTCTTTTATACATTCGAATGCGACAACGAATCGGATTTTGATCGATCGCCATTGCAATTTATTAGCAATTCTGTTATTCAAGCCGAATTCTCTTATCTTTTTTTATAGCCCGTCAGTGAATGGACATCGTTAGACGTACTCGAGTGGATGTCAGCGTTAAATCTCTACAGCTATGCGGATATTTTTAAATCTAAAGATATCAAAGGCAGCGATCTACGGTATTTGGATCGAGACAAACTCATGGTAAGTCATATCAATGTTTTCTATGATAATATATTAACATATTTATATACCTACCTATATCGATATATTTATTTTAATCCGCATTGGATACTCGCAATGTTTATCAGCTTATTCGCGGTTTATACGCTCTCCATATACGCGTTTTTAACGACATGAGAAATACAGAAATGCACGTTAATGAAAGTTAAATGAATTACCTAGAAATATCAGCAAGAGTATGCGATTGGGGTCAGAGGGAAGGATAGGTAGGACAGGATAATAGAGTTGGGTAAGAAAAAGAAGGGTCGATCACAACGGTTTCGTAAAGATCATCGAAAATTCTTTGGTTTGTAGGGCAAAGACGATGACCTAGAAGCGAATACTATTATCTGGACGATGTTTTTCCTTGGCCCGTTGGCCTTGTAATTGCTATGGAACGCGTCTGACTTGGACCACACGTAGTAGGAGTATTTATCGATTCTTCCTTTTCTTCATTTGCTTTTATTGCCAATCGAGCGTGCCTTATCTTACCGTCTATTTCTTTTTTTCTTTAATATTTATATTACTCGGTGGAATCCGTCCATCCATCAATAAGACCATTTTCTTTTACAGTTTATGCAAAAAAAAAAATGAAAATGTAATGAAAATAAATCGAAGGAGAAAAAAATTAATGATAATAATAATAATAATAATAATAATAATAATAATAATAATAATAATAATAATAATAATAATAATAACGACAAAGAAGAAAAAAAAAGTTACAACTCAGTATAACCACGTGACGTGGACGTAAATTAAAATCGAATGAATATTCCTAGATCGAGCTAGACGTTAGACAAGCTAGACACGCTTTACATAGAAAGCATATACATACATACGTATTCATCGCATCGGACCTTCTTCGACGTTCGTGCAACGATTCAACTTCAATATATATATATATAGTATACATTACGTACTTACGTACATACGCTCGTTCCTATCGTCGTCGTCGGCATTATCATAATCATAATGAGTCTCTCGCTTAGGTGGCTTCGAGGCTCACGCGGCCTTTCAGACTCCTCCGTATTGCGCGTGAAAAAAGATTTACTCTCGGCAGTTCTACTTCCACTACTTGGCCTATACTCGTCGTCGTCGTCGTCGTCGTCGTCTAATTAAGAGGAGGCAACTACTTATGGCAATTAAAGAAAGAAAGAATAGGAATTGAGTTGAAAATGAGAAGGGGGATTGTGAATTGGCAAATAGCGGAAAAGCAAGCTAAGTGGAAGAGACCGAGCTCAGAAGAAGGACTGAGAGAAGAAAAGCTAAGAACATTAATTAAAATGAATAAAGTAAACAGGGTAATAGGTATACTAATTAGTGTCGTATAGTTGAAATTTCATTGAAAACGTAAATTAGTGATAAAACGGCGATACCACCTATTGCTGCGTTCGTTGTGCGATCGAGCGTCTTATTGTGTAAAACACGCATGCGCTTTCTAATACGCGCACTCATGTCTCTTATGTTAGAAGAGTTGTCAGCAGGAATCGTAACTTCTTCAGATATATTAAAAGTACTCTATGCACTTTTCTTCATACTTGATTGATCTCGAGTCCCGATCCATCTGTTCTTTCCTTCGGTTCTTCCGTAAACAAAAAATTTCAAATAAAAAAAAGAAATATTGTATTTTGTTCGATTATTCTCGTATTGCATACCACGAAAGGATTTTATAAGAACAAAGATTAACAAGGACAAAATCTTGTTAACTTTTTTTTTTTAGTTTGGTTCAGTCGCGTATAATATATGTATTACAATTCTACTCGATTCGTAAAACTCTCTTCTACTCGTGAAGGTTTTCCTTTCGGTCTATGTGAGACAACAACGGCGCTTTAGGCTTTCAGTGAATTTAAACGAATTCTAAAATCGATCGATTCGACCATCGTAAAGAGTTATCGGGTCGAATATAGGAGACTCTAAATCATCCGAGTAGTGTGTTATGTTTTTTAATATAATACTTGAAAAAATTCACCATGCGTTGTCTCACAAACGAATATAAAATATTCTTGACTTTAGCGTTCTCTCTTCTTCTTTATTCTTGACTCTTTCTTTTAAGTTTGAACTTTGTACGTAGACGTGCATACATACTAACTCTAATCTTTTTTATTCTTTCTCTATCTTTCTTTTTTTTTTATTCTTTCTCTATTTCTCTCTTTTTTTTTTGCTATAGATCAAACGTAAAATAAACTAACGCCAGCGTTAAATTTTATTGTTATGCTCTCTCGCGTGAATATGCGTAATATATCGATCCTTACTTCTGCCACGTCTAACTAATAATAGCGTTTGGCCCAATCTTCGTCCTAGCGCAGAAAGAGAGAGAGAGAGAGAGAGAGAGAGAGAGAGAGAGAGAGAGAAAGAGAGAGAGAAAGAAAGGAGAGGAAAAACAGGGAGAGCGAGAGAAAATTACGCGCTCAACCCGATGTATTTTAAAATTGTGCACGTGTACATCACAATTCGCGCTGATAATCGTTACATACTGTCTCGTATAAACGTGAACTCAAGTATTTTCGTGCGAACAAGAGCAAGAGAGAGAAGGTATGGGGCTGATTTCATAATTGAAATATAGACAACAAATTTAAATTTAAAAAAAACTTAGGTAAGAAATTTTTCATTATTTATTAATATTTAATATCGAACATTTTTAAATGTAATTAAAAGTAATCTTCGTATATTAATATATTAAGAAAACTATTTCCGATTCACAACAGTAATAATAAATATTCATGAATAACGTAAAAAAAACATCATTATTGGTAAAATACAAATTTACTAATAAGTTCTTCACAATGCTTTTCAGTTTCTTTCAATTACTTATGAAAAAGAGAGAGAGAGAGAGAGAGAAAGAGAGAGGAAAAAAAGAAGATTTTAAACGAAAGGGGTTGGTTTCTCGGTCACTCACGTTAACTTGGTACGTCGACTACTTGCTGCTTTTAAAAGAATATTTTTAATTCCATTTTGAGTACTTTCTGGATGGGCATGAGCAGTTCAAAGCCGTTAATTTAATCGGACGAGTGAGCGAGCGTACTCGAGTCTCTGTGAAATGCAGCAGGGTATTATGCTGCATTTCTCGTATATCTACGTGGTAACTGACACCTGTTGAATCGCCTTCGTAGGAGCAGCAACTGCGCTAATCGCTCGGGGAAGGAGATGTCAGTCGGGAGTTAGCGTAACGTAGCACATAAATTACGCTTTCTCATTTGACTTTTTTTATGAGCGCATCTCCCGCACCCGACTCTCTCACACCAGTTTAAAAACTTTGTCGTTTTAATGTCTCTCTCTCTCTCTCTTTCTAGCGTTCAATTCACCCTTTTCTTCTCCTCCAACACCTCCAACTCATTTTTTTTTCCTTTTCCGTCTCTACCTCTATTTCTCCAAACCCCCTTTTTTAGTTCTCCTACTTCTCTTTTACGAGACAGACGTCGTACATCCTTCCAATGTGTGGCTTCGGTTTTCAATGAATATTCGAGTAATATGTCAAACCGTGAACCATTCTTTTTTTATTTCTATACGCGTGTCCTTTTCTTTTTCATAATTTATAATACTCCGTAAATAGTTTGTTTTCTCTCGTTATTACTTTGAATATGAAAATATAGACTGTGTTATTCGATATAGTAGTAGTAGTAGTAGTACTATTACTATTATTTCGATGAAATAACATGATCATATTGACACGTAAGGGAGTAATATGTTACCAATCGAGGGTTGGTGTTCCCTTGGTTGAATTGGTTACTAAAATTATTTATCTCCATTATATTTTGCAAGGAAATTGAATATTTTGTAAAAACGAAAAAAATGAAGATAAGAATGCAGAGAGAAAAATGTTTGACAAGATTCTTCTTTCCTTTATTTTTTTCTATCAAATAAACAATTTGAAAGACGATTAAATTATATGGTAACCCTATATTTACCATATAATTTGTATATATATATAGTTATGTAAGAACATAGCGATAGTTCAATTATGTAATGAAATTAATCGTTCGAGCAGATGTTTTTGGATTCGAAATTGATCGGTTATTTAGCTGACTTTCTGATCTTCCGACTTGTTTATTACAGCATATGGGTATAAAAGATGAACTCGACCAGAAGATTCTTTTGGTGTGTATCGAGGAACTCTGCCAGACGTCAGCTCCCCTCTCGTTGCCTGGTAGCACGGACGCGAATACATCTTCCACGACAACGAGCCCGACGACATGCACGACGGCGAGTACGACGACAGCAACATTGTCTACAACAATAACAACAACAACTACAGCAGCAGCAGCAGCAGCAGTAGCACTGACATCAGCTGCAACCGGTAGTAGTAACGTCAATGCGAGCTGCGCTATTGGTGGACTCCTTCATCCAGCCAACAATACGACCAACGATAGTCATAATCTTGTCTTGCATAGCTTCAGTATTTTGCAAAAGTGTGACAAGTGTAGTAAATATCTCAGGGGTCTCTTGCATCAAGGTTTTCTTTGCCGAGGTAAAAACCTATCTTCTTCTTCTTTTTCTTTTTTACGTTTAGAGTTAGAATTTTCGATGAAAACGATTCTTAACATTGTTCTATTTAAATTACTTGTTATACAATGAAAGCTGTTATTATTATTATAATATAATTTATTCTAATATAATTATATAGGAAAATGAGAAGTCACATTTGTATTTGGATTTAATTATTCGTTACGCATATCATTTATCTTCATCTTATTCTAATCATGTACATATCGTGCTTAGTAATTAACATTCATTATTTATGAAGATTTACGTCAAATATTAATAGTCATTTTCTATCGAATGACTATTTTTACTTATATTGGCTTTCACGATGATCTTGAATTTTGCACAACGTGTATTTATATGTAGTACAAATGTATATGTGATTCTTATAAAAAGCATTTGATTAATTAATCTGTAAAAAGTTAAGGAATTTTTTTTTTTTAAATCATTACTTTACATATTATTCACGAATACGGGAGCATTTGTAAGATAAAGGAGGAAGTTATTTATAATAATAGAGAACGTTCAATATTCATTTCATTTGATTAGAGTTAGAATTGTTTTTTTTATTTCATGCAAGTAGAAATAAAAATGGTATGTGTTTTTTTCTTTTTTCTTTTTTCGACAGATTGCGGCCTGGTAGCCCACAGAACGTGCTCGGCAATTGGTCTGCCTATAAGCTGCGTCCCCGCTGAGTCGAAAAACCGTAGCAATAGATACGCTTCCGGTGAGTTAAACTCTGAAACTTTTCGCTTACGCGCCAGACACGCGATTCCCTCGTCTATCGCCAAACACGAACAAATGAGCAAAAGTTCTCTTTTTTGCTTTCTTGTCAGTTCACTTCATCAAATGGGGGGTTATACGTGTTTATACGGAAATTATTGAAAAATTTTAAATATCGTTCTGCCGATTATCTGTGATATTGCGTCAGAAACGTGTTTAGTTAGCGCCTAAGTCGGTGCCCCGATAGGAGAGTTATGAAGTTTACGGCAAGGACACCTTTCTCAAGTACGTTACATCTCGTTATAAAAATGAGTATAAATTAGAGCCATATAGTGGTGGTGTATTGTTAGAATTTACAATGGCTTCCGATAGGTATCGGTTTATTGTCGTACATAGTGTATCTCACACCAATATTCGTTGTAATAATAACCTCGCCCCTTTAAATGCGTTCCTGCGAATACTATGAAACAAATATTAACGACTTCACAGAGGATATGTATACACTTACGTATGTAATGCATACATAAATATATATATATATATATATACATATATATTTATATTTATGTGAAATATATGTACATACACGTTAGATCTCGTAATTTTACTTTGTAATTTATTCACCGAACGACATATATCCATTAATGTAGCGACGATAGAAATCGCGCAGTTACACATTTATATACAAGTATACATATGCTATCTATGTACAGACGTACGCATGCATTCACTGCAAGTTCAACGTTATTCCGTAAAAAGAAAAAAAAAAAACAAAAGTAACGAATAAACTATTCTCGTCTTGGTAAATTTTTCCGTGAAAAGCTTACCGAACCACATACGCAAAACATCGAGAACAAGCAAATGATAGAGTAGCCGAGCCTGATCGTTAAACTCAACGAAGCAAGCACAATGATCTTGTTTGACGTTGTCATCCCTTGATCGTATACACGCGTAGAAATTACTGGCAATTTATATTCTTTAGAATTTAATGACATATAGATAAATATGTAAATGTCTGCATGTTTAAAACAGGTACTTCGAATGAGTGTATTTGTATGTGTTTAAAGTATTGAAATTATATTTAAATATTGAGTTTAACTCGTAAAGAAAAATGAGAATAATTTAAAAATTTTCCTGCTTTTTAATAAGAAAACGTTACTATTTAATTTTTAATTACTTTTGTTTTTTAATAATATACAAAAAAAAGTTCTATAGAAGCTCCTGAGGGAGCTAAATCTGAAAGCAAATTTTGTTGTAGTCGTAAAACTTCTTGTATAGCTTCTTGCATTATTATTCTGTTGATAAAATTATCATTTATTTTTTTTCTATTTTTATAAATCAGGCCTATTATTCAGAATTGTTTAATTTAATTGATGTAGAAGATTATTATATTCTCTAGTAATTGTATGACCTTTAGGATAATAGTCAATCTGCAGTATTTTTTTAGCATTTCATAAAAATTGAAGTCATAATTATTATTATTTTATCGGATAAAATTGCTTTTGCCATATCCGGTAGGAAAGAATCGTTATATTCCCATTGGTTTAATTTTTTTTTTTGAATTTTGAAGCTTTATAGTGAGTTTAAATAAAAGTCATTAATATTTTTCTTCAAACGAATTATAAACTGTGCATTCGATTGTGTTTTTAATTTTCAATTAACAACTGCGAAAGTATTCAGTTTCCTGCAAACAGTGATTAAATTATGTTTCTTCAAATGCATTTTTCTAATAAACTACACGACAGATTAATTTCAAACTTCAAAATTATCTTTATAGATAAAATGTCACTTAAGTATGTATCAATAAGATTTAAACATTATTATCATTATCATCATCTATAGATAAGATTGCGAACTTTTGAATTATCTTCATAATAATAATGAAATAATAAGTATAAGAGAAGTATTCATAATGCAATACTCGCTTTTCTCGAATTTGTATAATGAATAATAACGATAATTAATGATAATTTATACGACGATCAATAGACACTTTCTTTTCGTTTGCAACGAATGGTATGATATATCAAAAGTGTCTATTTTTAGAAAAAAAATGGAATTCATTGTGCGTTACTCATTCGCCATGAAAAAAATTTACAATTCATTATTAACTTAATTTCAACATTATTAATTTAACATAAAATTATGCGGTAGAGAAATGTAGAAAAAAGGAAAAAAAGTAGAATCATTGAGAACGTGTTTACTGGTTTTTTTATTTTTATTTTTTTTTCGTTTTCTTTTTCTTTCTTTACTTTATTCGATTACCATCATTCGCTTGCTTCGTTTATTACATTTGAAACTAAAGTATGTATATATACGAAGCTTGGATGACTTATGATTGGTCTGTCGTCGAACGATGCGATTTTCAGGCGCAGCTTCCAGATATTCGTGACTAAGTGCAATTAAAAAATGAAATTATCGCTAGCTTGCTCGTTATATCCGAGGTAATGCTGACCATCTATCTATCTATACATACATATTCATATAAACAAGTATACGTATACATTTATATGTAGACACACCTCATACATACATGCACGTATTTATATATATATATATATATATACATGTATATATACATGTATATATATACATATATACACATGTATATATATATATATATATATATAAACACATTCACGCATAATACACCCACATATACATATATATCTTTTTTGATCGTATTAATCGTATTATCCAAAGCAGAAATGATACACTTTAACA